CCCTGGTTGAGGGCGCGCAAGAGGCCACCGATCAACATCTCTCTCTCTCACACTGACGTTTCTCTCCCTCTCTTTCTCCTACCCTTCACCTTTCTCTAAAAAACAAATAAAATCTTTTTTTTAAAAGCTTCACTGTCTCTCTCAGCCTTGTTTCTTGCAACTGCATCTGAAAATGCAATTTTCTCGAAATGAAAGATTTAACCTGAAAAATCCGTGACGAGAATGCCGAGTGGACAGGGCAGGCCACCAAACTGAATGTGTGTGACGATCGTCCTGTACGAAGACCTCGAAATGTGCACCGCCTACTAACACCGAACAGCGGCCCAGCTCACAACACAGAGATCCCACTGCTAATGTGTTCCCAAGACAAATGGGTGCTGTGACCTCCAGGAGACACGGGCAGGGCTCACGGCCGGCCGTCGGGACCAAGCCAGATGCCGTCAATAGTAGAACTAATTGACTGTGTTATGTTCAGCCCAGCAAATCCTTAACGTGGCAGTTAAAACGCGCAGTCCTGCGCTCTGCACAACACCCACGCATCCATCTCCCCGCTAGGATGCCGCCGGCCACAGCCAGCACCTCAGGGTGCCGCCATGCATCCTGTACCACCCAGGGCACCTGCCTGGTGCCCCAGGTGGGGGCCCCTGCGCTCCCACTTTGCAGATGAAGAGACAGTGCAGAGAGTCTAAGTCACTGGATCGGGACCTCACACTGCAAGTGGCAGAGCTGCGTTTGAACCCAGGCAGCGAGGGTGCAGGCGGTATGTGCCCGCCCCCAGGAGGCAGGAAGCAGAGTGGGGAAGGAGTGAGAGGGGTGGACAAGGGGGAGGGGGCGAGGAGGCCTGGGCATTGCTGACCAGGTGTTCCCGAGGGCCTCCCACCCCCCAGGTACCGCGGCAGGCCCCGGCACAGTCAGGACTTGCAACTCGTGCCATCACCTGGGACTCAAGATGCTGCGGTCACCATGTTGAAATTCTTAATTTTTGAACAAGGTGCCCACCTTTTATTGCACAAGTGGTGTCTCCAATCCCAAATGCAGCAATGAAGAAAGGACCCCAAGTTTCCCCCTCCCCGGGATTACGGTCTAGCAGAGGCTGGGGCCTCAGGCCGGGAGGAGCGGGGAGGACTGGGGAGAGGACCTGGTTGTCCTTTGAAGCAGAGGAGGCATAACTCGATTCCTTTTACAATTTCATTCCTGGAACGATCCATTGCCCCCAGGAGCACCCTGCTCGCAAAACTGAACAGAAGGGCACGCGCTGGGTCTTCCTGGGTCTCCGAGCGGAGCTGCAGCCCCGTCGTGCATCGCTGACAGGCGGGGCAGGAGGGGCGCCCAGGGCTGTTCTGGCCACTGGCCCCGGGCCTCCCGCTAGAGAGCAGCAGCGGCCGAGCAGCACCCCCGAGGCCCCATGGATGCCAGCGCAGGGCTGGTCGTGGGCTCTGACCCTCCCCACAATGGTGGGAGGGAGGGAGAGATCGGCCCCCCCATTTAGAGTGAGACGCCTCACCTTATACCCGGTCCTGCAGCGAGCGAGGGGTCAGGGCAGTCCAACCTGGTGTGTCCGGCTCCAAACCCCGGGCCTTATGAACTCACCATGTCCCTTCTCTCAATACATTGGTGCTAAAGTGCAGACTAATCCTCCACAGGAGCCACCTGGCCCCCCACCTTTGGGCCTCGGCGGATGGGGGCCCTCCGCCTGGGGCAGCAGCCTCCCTGCCCCCCAAACCCTCCACTAGGTTTTCTTCCCTGGCCTTTAGCTGCTGCTGAAGCAGAGCGGCCGCCCAGCCCCCTGCCAGGCGGGAGCCCTCACAGCTCCGAGTGCCCTGCGTCCCCTGGAACCCTGCAGGGCCAGGGCTCCTGTTTCATGGGCCCCGAGACCCGGGTCCAGACAGCGCCTGACACACAGCCGCCCCTCCGCGTGTTTACCGAGAAAAACGGCTCTGATGCCGCGGGCCCTGGGCAGGCGTCCAGGGCTGCGCCAGCCTCAGCCCACTGACCTGCTCTGTCCTGACCCGACGCCCAGGGGTGCTCCTCCGGGGCTCCCAGCTGCGCCCTGGCTCGGCCCTTCCAGCGTTTACAGGTCGCATTTCGGGAGCCTGGGCGCTGGCCGGTTTTCTCACCGGCGACAGGCCCCTGCTGATGAGGGCCAGGGAGGCTTGGGGGCTGGGCCGGAAGGCAGACCGAGGCCTGACACCTGCCAGGACAGGCAGGGGCCGCACACGGGTCAAGGCCTGGCTTGGAGGCCGAGGGGCCTGCCAGCCTGCCCCCTCCCCGCCCTGTGGGGCACCCTCCCTGGGGTCCCCTCAGACCAGCAGGGACTTGCTTTTTCTTTTTCCTGAGCTCTCTTCCCTAGTTCCCCATTTAATCCCCTCCCAGCCCTGGGGGCGCTAGGACCAGGGTTACCTAGGATGGGACTGGGTCAGGCTGCCAGCAGGCAGCAGGAGGTCGGGTCTGCATGCCAGGCGCTGCCTTGCTGCGGACTCGCTGCCCGGGGCTCAGTGCTCGCTGCCTGGGGCTCAGTGCTCCCTGCCTGGGGCTCAGTGCTCCCTGCCCGGGCTCAGTGCTCTCTGCCTGGGGCTCAGTGCTCCCTGCCCAGGGGCTCAGTGCTCGCTGCCCGGCCTCAGTGCTCACAGCTCAGGGCTCAGTGCTCCTTGCCTGGGGCTCAGTGCTCCCTGCCCGGCCTCAGTGCTCACAGCTCGGGGCTCAGTGCTCCTAGCCAGGGGCCTGTGCTCACTGCCCGGGCTCAGTGTGGACCCCACAGCCTCCTGGGGCCGCTCAGGACAGCGGGTGCTCCAATCGGCCTCTCTCAGCTGATGAGGCCTGGGCCCCACCTGCTGAAGCAGCCAGAGGCGCAAGGTGCTGGCTTTTGAAACGGCCTTCCCTCTGGCCCCTGGTCTCCACCAGGCACTCATCTCCTGGGCTTGCAGGGGTGGCAGCGGGAGGGACCACAGGCCCACGGCCCAGCTCTCTCTGCTGGTGGAGCCCGCGGGAGCCTCAGAGTCCCTCCCAGCAGGGGGGCGGGGGCGGGCAGCAAGGAGGGAAGAGAGACCCAAGCCTTAAATGGCCCCCTCACAGCTGGGGCCTGTGTCTGTCCCCATTACAGCCCCAAACTGACAGCAGCCACCAAGGGCAGCCGAGCTAATCAGCGAGCCAGACATCTCCTTGGCATCGCCCCCCCCACTGTCTCTCTCTCTCTCTCTCAGACACACATGCCAGACAGGAAAACAAGACTGAACCCACTCCATCCACAGTGCGGGCTGGGGGCTGCCTGGCTCTGTCCCCGCCGAGATCAAAGCCGGCGAAGGGGTCACTCAGCAAACTGGCCAAGTGACCCCTTCCTGGGAGGGAGCACGTCTGTTTCCCTGAGGAGCGGGCCGGCTCCAGAATCGTGACATATTTACGTTCTACGTCTCCTGCCTCCTGCTCAGGCTCAGAAACAAACCCCAGGTTCCAACCGCGGGGGAAACGGGACCGTTAACTGGGCAAACCGCAAACGGGAAGGTGGAAGGTGGGAAGGCTGAGGAGGGGTCCTGAGGAGGCAGGGGCGGGAGTCTGCGGGTCTCCTGAGCACCCAGCCCCGCTTCCTGCCGGAAGGTCCTCCTGAGCCTGGGCCTCGGGGTGCACGCTGAGCTGGCCCGGTGCTGCTCCTGGTCTCCGGGCAGGAGAGAGCTGGGCAGGCGGCCTGCAGGCCGGGCTGGCCCTGGCCTTGCCCCCTTGGGCACCGCAATCTGGAGCCCACCCAATCTCCGTAAGCTGGCTGGCGGCCCGGGCCGCTCGGGCTGGGAAAACCTGGCTTGTTGCTCCCTCCTCTCCTGGTTCAGACCCCCCCCCCCCCGGCCACAGGCCCCCTGGCGGCCTCGGCCTCCGGGCCCTTGCGTCTACCCCTCAGGAACCCAGGTGTGAAACTCCGCTCTCCTTCAAGCTCAGAGATCTTGAACTTGGCGTTCACTCGCATGCAGGTTCCGGGTGTCGAGGGGGCTCAAAGGGGAGTTTGCACGAGGCCGGGCCCGCCAGCCTCCTCGCCCGCTGCCGGGAGCACCTTGGCTTCCAGCCCACCTGCCCGGGCCCAGCCCACCGTCACCACCCTGGCCTTTTCCTCGCTTGCTGTCCCTTCTCTGTTGAGGTGGTGCCAGTGACACCTAGGCCTCCCCAGGACCCAGGAGGCGTGTTTGGAAACAAGGAGAGTCCCCTTCCTAAGAGCAGTTCTGGACCCGGTAGGCAACCCACACGGTCGCGCATCTGTGACTTCAGAGCAGCCTTCAGCTTCAGGATGTACGGAGAGCAGCAAGGGCCCGGGACCCAGGGGCTGACCCCCCGCTAGCGAAGGCCCTGAGGGGCTGCGCTGGGCGCCTGCTCCGTGCCGGGCCCCGTGCCGGCGCTGGAGCCCTTGCCCGAGGAGCCACGTGCCGCTGGAGGTGCTGGCCGAGGGGGGGGAGTGTGGACCGAAGGATGGGGGAGTAGGCGGGTGATCGGGTGGGTGGCTGGGTGGGTGAGGAGCAGGACGGGCGAATAAACAGGGTGGGGCGGGGCAGGGCAGGGCGGGGGTCTCGGAGGTGGGCCCCACAGGCTAGCCGGGAGGTCCACAGCCTTAAGAGCTGTTTGAAGGGAGAAGCAGGGGAGAGTGGGATGGGGACCCGGGGCCGCGCAGACTCCCATGGTTGGTGTGAAAAGTATTTTAAACTAAAAACATTTGGAATTCGACAGAGAAAACAGTGTAACGATTACCGAAGGGGACGGGGGAGGGGGAGGGGAGGCAGGAGAGGGTAAAGGGGGATAAACGGTGACGGCAGGGGACCTGACTTCGGGCGGTGAACACACAATACAATACACAGATGATGTACTATAGATCGTACCCCTGAAACCTGTGTAACTTTATTAACCCAGGTCACCCCGATAAATTCAACGAAAGAAAACCAGGGAAAAAAAAGTGTGAGCAGTAAAACGGCAATAAATACATATCTATCGGCAACTGAATCTAAAAACAAAATAAATGAACCAGCAGGACAAAAACAGACTCATGAACACAGAGAACACTTGGAGGCTGCCTGATGGGCCGGGGCCGGGGTTGGGGGCCGGGGGAAAAGGTGCGGGGGTGAGGAGCACAGTCTGGCGGTCACAGAACCGTCCGGGCCCGGGCCGCGGAGCACTGGGAACAGCGTCCATAAAGTTCTAACAACTGTGCGTGGTGTCAGGTGGGCGCTGCATTTCTCAGGGTGATCGCTCAGCGAGTTATGTAATGTCGAATCACTGGGGCGTACACCTGAAACTAATATCATGCTTTATGTCAACTGTAATTTAAAAATAACAAATAATTTTAACAATCGTTTACCATTCACCAAGTGCCGAAAGGAGCCCGCGGGGAGATCCCGCTGCTGAGCGCAGGCGGGCGCTCTGGAGGGGAGGCGGTTGCAAACCCCCCTCGGGAGCGCCCCCCGCCGGAAAGCGGCGGAAGTGCGCCCGCAGCAGCAAACACCCCGCAGCTGCCTTCCCTCCCGCGGGTGCCATCCAGGCCCGGCCTTGGTCCCTCGGAGCCTCCCCTCTTCCCCTGGCCCTCCGGGTCGGGTGGAGACTCCGCCATCCCCCTCCCGTGCGCATCCCGGAGAGGACCACCCTGCATCTTCCCTCCCGCTCGGCTGCCCCCGCCCGCCGCGTTCCCAGGCCCCACACGTGCTCCGGAATCCGTGGGGACACTCTTCCTCTCCGCAGCTGCGGTGTTGCTATGACAGCTTCTCTCCAAGAAAACCTTGAAGACGGTCCCTCGGGACGAGCAGACGTTCGGCCAAAGGGCTTCTTGAACCCCTGCCGCAGAGGCGGCAGCCAGTGTCGCCTTCGGTTCTGGAAGCAGAAAGGGCAGGCCATAAATATTTGCCGCGAGGGTTTGAGGCGGTCGGCCCACGCCGCCTCTGGGGCTGGGGGTCCGGGACCCGCCTCTCTTCAAGGCCGGAACTTGACCCCCTGCACGGTCGGCAGGGCGGGCCCTGGTCCCCAGCACCACCTTGTGGCGGGCCAGCAGGCCTCAGAGCCTTCAGCTGTAAAATGGGATCACAGTCGTCCACCTCCTGGGTGGCTTGGAGGATTACAGCAGGTCTGGACCCCAAACGCCTCACCCACTTGCTACAGGATACACAGTGGGCAGATGGCATGTCCCTGGCTGCCCCCGGCCCCTCCCCACACGAGGCCCGTTCAGTTACAGGTTACCGCCTGGCATGGGAAGGACGCAGAGCCCCTTAGGGGCCGGTTGGCTGCCAGGACCGCAGGGTGAAGGGAGGCAGGGGTGGGAGCAGTGGGGCCAGGTGGGCCGGGGAGAGGGGGAGGGCAGGGCCCAGGAGGAGCACCGCCCCCCCCCCAGGGTCTCTGACCAGTCCTGGCTGCCTCTCTCCCTTCAAGCCGCCCTGCCCCACCTCCAGGTCTCACGGCCCCCGCCCCCCGGCTCTGCAAGTCCTGGCTAATTCAGAGGAGTAATTTTAATCAATTAGATGAAGTATAAAATAACTGTTCTGCTCTGCTCACAAAGCGGAGCTTGTTGTCCCTAAGGCTTTATTGAAAAGGCATTAAGATGAAATTGCGTGTTCCCAGCAGGTAGGCAGTGCGGGAGGGGCTGCTGGGGAGGCTGGGGTCGGAGACGGGCGGAGGAGCAGGGCCCTGTCTGCCCCGCGCCACCCCCGCCGCTGGGCCCAGCCCCAGCCAGAGGGACCCGCAGGCCCACACACAGGTGCACACAGGTGCACACACACCCACATCTGCCCCGCGCCCCGCCACGGTGCGGTGACCTGGCTCACGGCAGCGGCCACCATTCCTCGTGGGCTGGCCCCAGAGCTCATTGGAAACCACTGTTTCATGGAGGCGCCACAGAGTTTGTGTCCCTGTGTCCAAACCCAGGACCTGCAGTCGGGCACAGCTGGTCGGTTGGCACCGGCAGTTAGCCCCAACCAACTGTCCCCACGGAGCACCGCCCTGGGGGGCGAGCACTGGCCCAGGAGTCGGGGACACAGGATGAGCCCCAGCGCTGAGTGGAACGGTCTCCTTCTGGGCCTCGGCTTCTCCCCGTGGAGCCAAAGCGCCCCTCGCTCCCCAGGAAAAGGACCTGCGGCCGTCTCCTTGGCCCGACCACAGCTGACGCCTGCTCCGCCGAGCGGGGAAAACGGTTTCCTGTCGTTGGCTGCAAGCCCCGACTGCCTTCTGGCCAAGATGACCGCACGTCTTGAAGGAGCCATGCGGTCAGCACGAGGCAGGCACACCTGCCGGAGGCCCTGCCTGGACCTGCTGTGTGACCCCGGGCCCAGCGTCCCGCTGTCTGGCCTCGGGCGCTCCGAGGAGGCACCGGACTCGCTGCTCCGGAGGGGGCGCACCCCCCTGGGCATCAGCGCTGGGCTCCTCCGGCCAGGTGAGCAGCCTGCCGTGGCACCTGGCCAGGCCTGAGCTGGGAGGGGCCTCGGGCGTGGCCCCCCTACCAGGTCCCAAACACAGCCGCCACCCTGGCGGGTGTGGCTCGGTGAACTGAGTGCCAGCCTGAGAACCGATAGGTCGCTGGTTCGATTCCCAGTCAGGGCACCTGCCTGGGGTGTGGGCGGGGTCCCGGATGGGGTGTGTGGGAGACAACCAATTGATTGATTGACGTGTATCTTGAGCATCGATATTTCTGTCCCTCTTTTTCTCCCTCCCTTCCCCTCTCTCTGAAAATAAATAAAATCTTTAATAAAAAAGAACAGCTGCCAGTGGCGTGAGAGATGGGTCTTGGTGGGGGACGGCGGAGGGGGGCTCTCCTGCCGGCAGGGCCCAGGGGCCAGAGCCGAGCAGGTGATTCTGTGCGTGCTTTGTTCCCGCACAAAGGGGCTCTCAGAGAACTTCAGAGATGCTCCACTTCCCGGCCGATTTGATTTCTTTCTTTCTTTCTTTTTTTTTTCTCCAGAACGGGAGTGTGAAAGCCAGGCCGAACCTGCCTAATTGTGCCTGCCTGCGAAGGCTATTCAGAGAGACGGTTCTTGGAAGAAAATCAGGACAATTAGCTCTCGGCTGCGGGTGGAGGGGAAGCGAGCTAATCACGGTGAATGTCAGCCTGTTCCCGGGGGGACCAAAGGGCACAGACTTGGGAGAAGGAAGAGGAAGAAAGAGGGGCGTCTGCGGGGCCTGCCGCTGGGGGCGGGGTGAGTGCACCCCGGGGGAGTGGAGCAGAGCAGAGCGGGGCTGGGACGCGGAGGGCTGGGCAGGGCTCCCCTGCAGCTGCCGGGGCTGGCCGCGTGACCGCGGGCCAGTCACTCAGCCCCTGGGGCCTCAGTTTCCCCGAGCTTGCACCAGGAGCGAGAGCTGTGCACAGTGGGCAGATGGCGTGCGTGCACCGCGGAAAGGAGCAGATGGTGCGGCGCGGGCTGGCGGGGGAGCCCCCGCGGCCCAGCGCAAGCCCGGCCCTCCGGCCCCCTGTGCTCTGCCTGGGCCGCGGGAGCGCTCTCATGCCAATTCCAGCGCCTCGTCAGGCTTCCAAGTCGCGGGGGTGGACACTGCAATCTCGACTTTGCCTCTTCTGAGCTCTGTGACAATGGAAACCTTCCTGGCCTCTCTGAGTCACAGTTTTCTAGCTAAACGCGTTACAGTGCTGCTAACCTAAAAATAAAAGGCCAGAGCGAGAGGCAACGAGCGTTTATCCGAGATCCACACGAGTAGCTGCTCAGGAAGCACCGATTCAGGCAGAAGCCCAAACCGTGTTTGGGCTAGAGGCACAGCACAAAGGGGTTTCTGGGGGCGGGAAGGGGAACAACTGCCTCCACAGAAGGACGGCGCGTCTCCTGGGCAGAGAAGCTAACGGGGCTGCTGATCCTGAGGAACGATTTTAATTTTCGGTCCTCTCTCTGGTCGCCAGCCCTGCAGGCAGGCGTGGTAGCTGCCTGCCCGTTATCTTGGCAAGCAGTTGCTGGGGACACAATGCCGCTCCGGGCCCCGCCCGTCCAAGGGGGTCCTGCCCGGCCCCACATCCCAGAAGCTGGCGGGGGGGGTCAGATTATTCTTCACAAGGACCTTGTGGTCTGACACCCAGTTGGTGACAGGTGCTTGTTGTCACTGCTGCAGCGTCAGGAATACAAGGGACACAGAAGCTCATTTTCTCATAATCCAAGTGTGTCTCTGTGTGTGTGTGGCTATTTGGTCGATAATGTTTCCAAATATAGCATGTGCTGCTGATATTACCTCTTTTTGAATGGAGCCCAAGGTGCATATTCCAGTATTTGTTTCTTTTTTTCTTTTTTTCAAGACTTATTTACTTCCCGAGAGAGGGGGCGGGAGGGAGGAAGAGAGGGAGAGAAATATCCATCGGTTGCTTCTTGCGCGCCCCAAAGGGGGTTGAGGCCCGAAACCCAGGCACCTGCCCTGACGGGAATCAAACCGGCGACCTGTTGGTTCGCAGGCCGCCGCCCAGCCCACGGAGCTGCACCAGCCAGGACCCACACAGGGCTGCCCCGCCCGCCACATCTTCTGCAGCCCAGGGGTCCGGCTGCCGCAGCGGAGAGGAAGCACCCTCATTCTACATGTCCCCCCTTTCTCTTCGCCTGGGTGGAAGGCTGGGCGTGCCGCCCGCTCAGCGGGGCAGCACCACCAGACCCCTAGCCGTCTTCAGCCCCGCCTTTGGAGGGCGCTGTGGGGGTCCTCACACGTTTCCCAGTCAGCGGGTCAAGAAATTCGGGCCACAGGCAGGGCTGACAGCAAACGTGGGCCCCCCCCCCATGGAGCGGCCCCCCCAGGGAGCGGCCCCCCCAGGGAGCGGCCCCTGTGGCCGACACGCCCACTCGGCACTTCCAAGAGAGCCACGCTGTCGGGCAGCCGACACGGGCCCTGGGAGTCCTGTCCTGCAGGGAGGGAGCCTGGCGGCCCGTGGTCCCTAAACCTCGTTCCCGGCCCCGGGCAAGTGTGGAACTGACCCTGAGCAGAGACTTCAGGTGGGGAGGCCTCAGCGTCCTGAAAAAGAGACACAGGGGTGGACTCTAAGCAAACGCCACCAGCCGAGGGGGCTGTTCTCCGGAGGAAACAAGGAATTCAGCGCTCACCCCCGGGGAAGGAGTCGATGGAGGGTGAATTGTAGACGTGCCCCCCTGGGCCCTGAGTAGGGGACGCCCAGGCAGCTCCCCTCACTGATCCGGGCCACGGTTCGAGGTGCTCCAGCCACTCACACGTGAGCCCAGGGTGTCTCCACTCATGAGGAACACGGTTCTTGTCCTTTTTGGGGCCACAGGCCCCTTTGAAGACGGCCCCCACCCCACCTCACCTCTCAGCTCCAGGTGTAAATAAAAACAAGGGCCAGATTTGGTCCCCATCCAAAACCCACACCCCTCTCAGGCCCTGGCCGGGGAGCAGGGGTGGTTAGCGAGTCCTCCCAATAAGCCAAGGCCACAGGTTCGAGCCTTGGTCAGGACACAGACAAGAATCAACCAATGAGTGCGTCAGTAAGTGGAAACCAAATCGATGTTCCTCTCTCTCTCCCTTCCAAAAAAAAAAAAAATACCCGACACCCATCTCTTGGCCCAAGAGTGTGACATACATGACCAATTCGTGGAAGAAGCCAGGAGACTGTCCCATCCAGAGGGCTGCAGCCCCCGCCAGACCCCCGGCCAGGGCCAGGCCCAGGCCCGCACTTGCTGGCTCTCGGAGGTGAAGGTGCCGGGACGCGCTCTCCTGCGCTGCCGGCAGAGGGCGCCCCTGGGAAGCGCAGAGCGTGGCTGTGCTGCAGCAGCCCGCCCTGGCTCAGGGCAGACCCTCAGCCCCAGCTCCAGGGTCACGCGCTAAGCGGGTTATTATCTGAGTTTAAATCAGCCCAAATTGTCAGGAGGCCCCAGTGCTGCAGACAGAGGACGTGAGCTCAGTGGGCCGAGACCACTGCCTCAATGGCGTTCTAACCTCGTCCTGGGTGAGGCAGGCAGAGGGGGGAGGGGGCGTGCCCGGGTCCCAGGGCGGACTCTGCCCGGGTCTGTCTCCTCGCCGCCCAGGGTGCAGGCGGGGAGAGGGCCCGTCCCACCACCCAGGCCCGCGGATGCGCTGGGGTGGGCGAGCTGCGGCCGAGGCCCCTTCCCTCTCCCAGCCTCCCAGAGGCCGGCAGAGCCCTCCGGAGCACGGGTTCCAGTCCTGGCCCGCCCACTCACCTGCTACGTAACCGCACACCACAAAGACGGACAACCGCCCTCTTCTGGGCGGGGAGGATGCCTGCACGTGCCGCCCGCTGGTCCCCGCAGCCGCCCACTGAGGTCCGCGGTTGCCAGGTTGCGGAGGGAAGAACGGAGCCCAGAAGAGTCAAACGACCCGGATGCTCTGAGCCCTGCGTTTCCACCCGTCCACAGAGCCAGCGTCACACCCCCACTTCAACGGGGTAAAGACGGGGACACCACGAAAATGACCGGCACAGAGCAATGATGTTCTTTCCAGAAACGCAGCCACTCACTCGCCACTCTCTTCATTCACTCATTCACTCACACAGGCGTGCACTCACACACGCATCTGTGTGCAACAGAAGGCCGGCCGTGGCGCCTGAGATCCCAACGGCAGGCAGGCGGTCCAACAGGCCAAGGCCTGGCAGGTCCCCTTAGTAGCGCCCCTCACCTTCCCCGCCCCTCCTCACGCCCAGCCCAGTCCCTGCGGGGGGGGGGGGCAGAGCAAGGAGCAGGAGGGAGACATGGGCCCTCGGCCAGGGCTCTTCATAATTCCAACCAGGGAAACCACACGCATGTCGGCCGGGGGGGGGGGAGGGGAGCGAGCAAACTGGGGCGCATCCGCCCAGCGGAACCCTCTCTGCCATGCGTACAACTCCCCTCGGCGAGTCAGTCCCCCACGAACATGACGCTGGGCTGAAGATGTCAGAGTGGACTTCCCGAGACCCCGTATCGTTACGGTACCTGACCAGGTGAGCCCCGTCTCAGGGGACAGTCGGGACACGGCCACGGTCCCGTGCGGGAGGGGCCTCCTCTTGCCCAGGGGCCTCTTTCCTGGTCTGGGAGCTGACGCCCAGGTGCCTCTGCTTTGTGGAAGTATTGAGCGGGGCCCTTACCATGTGCAGTTTTCTGCATTTCTGCAGTTACTGCGTATCTGGGTTAAAAAGCTGTCCGAGAGACTCCCCAGGGAGAGGTAGACGGTGGGACACCTGAGCACAGCCGTCAGGAGGGCCAGGGCTGGACAGTGCCTGGCCGTCAGCAGAGGACTCAGATGGGGAAGGCGAGGGCCGAGCCCTGGGGCCCACTGGGGCTTGGGGGTCAGAAAGGGAAGGGGACCTGGCAGAGGGGAGAGAGAAGCAGGGCGGGGGATGCAGGTGGGAACCCCAGAGGCCACGGAAGCTTCCAGGGGCACGTGCTGCTGGGAATCAGGGAGGACTAGGAGACAGTCTTGGACCCAACCCCATGAAGGTCACTTGGCTTGAGCATTTCAGAGGTGAAAAGGGGACAACAGCCAGGCTGCAGCCAGCTGCAGAGAGGAGAGAGGTGAAGGAGGGGCCAAGACCCGGGGAACCCTGCTCATCTCTCCAGACTCGGCTCAGTGCACGGCCCCCAGGAGCCTTCCCAACGGCCCTCTTCCTTCCAAGACCCCTTCACCGCAGTCACTACGGCGGTCCCCGCCGCGTGCGCCAGGGGCTCCCCAAGGGCAGGGACGGTGTCTCTGCCACCCCGGCCTCCCCGCGCACAGCTGGTGCTTCAGTATTCTTAGCTCCCCTCTCTCCCTTTCCGAGGGCAGAAGGAAAGGCTGAGACGTTCCCAGAATCCTGTTCTCCCGTGGAATGAATCACTCCTCCCCAGACAATAGTTGTTTTTGCGCCGCTCTGAGGTTCTTTGTGTTACATAATGATGAGAGCTAATATTGCATTAATTGGGTTGTGAATTACAGTATTTGTATTGTCACAGTCATTAACTTGGTGATTGCAATTTTGCTTTAATTTAATCTAGCTTCTTGTGCATTCTGTCAAAACTTCCAAAAACAATGTAATGCAGAACTGCATTTCAGAGCAGACTAAATACCTAAACACCAAATTTAAAGAATTTATGGAAACCTGGCTCACAGCCACTGACCTCCACAGTGAGAAAATACATCATCAGGTGCGGACAGCTGAGCCCAGGGCCAGACCCGCACCCCACCCTCCCACATCTAGACCCCAAGGGCCTCAAGGGCAAGAAATGGGGGGCTATGGCTGGAGTGGCTCAGTTGGTTGGGCGTCATCCTGCAAACCGAGAAGTTGCCAGTTCGATTCCTGGTCAGGGCACATGCCCAGGTTGCAGGTTTGGCCCGTAGTCGGGGTGAGTGCAAGAGCCAACCGATCAGTGTTTCTCTCCCTCTCTTTCTCCTTCCCTTCCCTCTCTCTGGAATCAATAAAATAAAATAAAAATTTAAAGAAATGAGGAGGATAGTCTCTGTGTCCTTCAGGCAGGGCTCAGGGCTCAGAGCCATGTCCTGCCCGGAGCGTGGCTGTGCTCAGTGCCCAGAGTGCAGGGGGCCGACCTGGCCCCCACAGCCCACAGGAGGGGCAGCCTCAGAGGCCACGGCGGCATGCCAGGCCCAGCCTCAGCCTCAGCCCAGGCTGCAAGGCTGGTGAGAGCTGGGGGTGGCTAGACCCAGCTGGTTTTCCTTCACTGAGCTTCTCGATCTCTGTGCTTAAACTTGACCTTTTGTTTTCTAAGCTGCCGGTGGCACAAACTGGCTGGTTGTCCTTTGAGAGCCTCCTGAGGCACATGCACCCCTCGGCTGACCCAACTCACTGCTGTGCCAGAGCCAGCACGGAAGACTCACATTGGCCAGACTCCCGAGGCTGATGTATAAACCAGGGCCGTGTTTCCCACCGACAGGAGCAACTGAGCTGTGACAAGAACTGGACTGCTTCCCCCAGAGCAGCGGTCTGCCTTCGCCTGCCGCCCCTGCCCTCTCTCTGGACGGGGTCACATGGCCTGGGAGCCCTGCGGCACCAGGCCCAGTGCCCCCCTCCTCTGGCCTCCACGTGGTTCTCCTGCCCTGCCCTCTGCAATGGCGTGGGCTGCCCGGCCGTCCACGCTGTGGAAGCTCAGGCCCCACATCTTGTCACTGCGGCCCAGTCCACACCGCTTCCCTTCGTGTCTCTTCCCTGGGGCTTCAGGAAAACCCCCGTACAGGCCTCGAATGCAGCTCAGAAACTCCCTTCCCCTCATCGTTGTTTATCTTCGCATCCCAGAGGACAAAACAGTCCCCCCACAGCATGAAGCTCAGCGAATACTTACCATACTTACCGAACGGATGAATGAACGGGCCCAGCTGTGGCCCCTCGGCTCTCCCTTCCCGCAGGTGAGCCCTTCCCCGGGGCACAAACTCACCTGGGGACAGAAGGCTGTCCCCCCACTGTCCAGATGACTCAGGTGCCCGACCCCCAGGGAGCAGGCCCAGGCGGCACTGCCAAGGGCCCCGCCGCCGGGGACTGCCTCTGTCCTCGCTCGCAGCACTCGCTCAGCTCAGCCCCTCCGGTCCCGCGGGCCTCAGAGCTGTTCTGACTATAAGACTGGGAAGATTTCCGTTCCGTTACAAAGTGACTTGCACTTTAGCTCTGAGAGCGGTGAGTTCCAAAGTCTAGACAGGCTCCGGGGGTGCCTTCAGGGCTCCTCCCGCAGACCCAGGCAGAGCCCGGCCAGGAGAACGGGGTCCTGGGGGAGCAGTGTAGGGTGGGGGCTTCGGGGTCTGACAACCAGGTTTGGGAGTTGCCTGTGTGCCTCCGGTCAAGTTCAACATCCTCCCTGGGCTGCGGCCTCCCTAGCCGTACAGCAGAGCCAGCGTTGCTGTGGTGACACTGAAGAGGGAAGGCAGAGACTGGAAACACTACTTCCAACCCACGTGTGTGACGCAGGCCTGGTGGCTCGCGGGCAGAGTGCCCTCCCACCCAGTAACGCGGAGGGTCTGCGCGGGCGATTAACCGAAGAAGATCCGCGCGTGGGAAATAAGGCCCCGAGAAGCAGCGCAGCGTGTCGGTCAGTGGCGAGATGCACGTTAACACCGCGGGGGGCACCCGGGACACCCGCGAGCACGGCTGCCGTGGAACAGACGGGCTGGGCCAGGGTGTGAAGCACCGGATTGGTGCCCCGCACCCCCGTGCTCGCGGGCACGTGGAGGGGACAGTGACTTGGGACACGGTTGGGCAGTTTCCTCCAGAGTTCCGCACACACACCTGCGGTATCAGCCGCCCCCTGCTCCCACGCATGTCCCCGAGCGGGATGAAAGCACCATCCGCCACAGGCCGCCGCGTGAACCGCCACGGCAGACCCCGTGCGCAGCCGCCCGAAAGGGGCAGCGACCCGAACGCCCCCCAGCGGGCGGCGCGTGGATAACCGCGGCGCTGCTCGCTCGGCGGAAGGACACGTGGCACTAAAGGGAAGGCCTGGCCGTGCGCCGCCGGAGGGACTCCAAAATGGTTGTAATGGGAAGAAGTCAGACAAAAAAAGAGATCATACTCCAAAGTTCTATTTATTGAAAAGTCTAGAAAATGCAAAAACCTACCTGTGGTGACAGTGAGCAGATGGGCGGCCGCCTGGGGACAGGGGCACAGTAAGGAACGGCCTGAAGGAGAAGTGACGCAGAGGCACACGGCAGTGGCTGTCACTCAAGCGCTGGCGGGCGGGCGGAGCCTGTGAGGCCACGCCCACTCCACCAAGCCTTCGAGAGCAGGGTCCCTCACTGCACTTTAGGACTTACCAGCCGCTTTTGACACGCCGGGCCCGAGCCCCTTCCCCAACCCGGATGCCTGCCTCTCCGCTTTGGTCATCTAGTTGCAAAGACTAGGAGCCGCAGGGCAGAGGGGACCCAAGACAAAGATCACTACAGGTGGGCGTGGGGGCCGGTCTGGAGTTGGAACCCCAGCTCTGCCCCTCGTCAGCTGCGAGATCTCCCTGCGTCCCAGCATGGTCGGAGTGTACTTAGTGATCCTCCCGGAAGATGGGCGGGGACCCGCGGTAGTAATGTGTGTCACCGTGCAGCTGTGCGCATGTGCCTAGGAGTGTGCCTAAGGGGACTGTCGCAGCCACCCCCTTAGCTGCCTCTGATTCCTGCAGATCGGACGGGGGCTCCAGGACCACCTGCCACCTCTGGGGGCCCGGCTGGGAGCCAGGGGAGGGGCTATAGCTGCCACGCTAGAGCCAGAGGAGGCTCGGGGTGGTCACACAGCGCCCAGGGGACACAGGTCCAGCTCCGCTTCCAGTGCGCAATGCTGGCTCCAGGCTCGATGGGCTTTCTCCCAAAGATGTCATTTCTATTTTGATTCCATGTGACATTTAATGAAATGACTTGCAGTCCCCACGCGGCGTCTGAGTTATGAAAGTACAGCCTCTGGATCCTCCAACACTGTGCACAACAGGCCCCCCCTGTGGCTTCAGGAGCTGCCCACCTTTCCGAGGGACCCGCCCTCGGCATCAACCTGCGCCCACGTCGCTTCCCCACAGGGCAGCGACAGCAGCCTCTGCCTGGGCCCTGCCTCCGGCTGCCGCACTCCAACCCAGCTCCGTTCAGAGCCACTCGGGGAGACAGGAAATCAATGGAGAGGGCTGCAAACAGCATTTTCAGAAAAACAAATGGAACAGAGCAGACTAGCAAACAGGGGAATGCCTTGCACGCGGAGTGCAGCCCCATCGTCACACTGGCTGAGTGTGCACCACGAGGTCTCTGTGAAAGGAATGAAAAGAGAAGGAACGCAGCCCATGTCCACCACCCTCTGCGCCCTTTCTCAGACGCATACGTGGGCACGTCCTCTCCTCGGCCGAGACTCCACGAGACCCCTCAGCCTGGCACCGAGAGCCCCTCAAGACCTGGCTGGCCCCAGTGCACCCTCACCCCGACCCTCCCCACCAGAGAGCAGGGCGGTCCAGGCAGAGACCCCCTTGGGGCTCAGCTTCCTGAGAGTGTGACGGCACTGGGGTCATCGCTGGGTGACCCCACTCCACCTCCTCTGGCCTGCGATGAGTTCCTGGATTCTACAGAAGCAAAGATTTAAATATTTCTGGAAGCTTTCTGTCCAGAAGGAAGCAGAAGCCTTCCAGTTTCTCAACATTCAAAATGGGAACCCCACCCATATACCAGAACAGCTTGTCAGGGCCCCTGAAAGGCCGGAACCCTAAGGCCACCCACATGCTTGGGGACAAGCAAGCTGCCGGCCCCGATGCTGACCGCTGCAAGAAGGCAGGCAGCTGTCTGCAGCTGGAGCCCCAGCCCCCGGCTCCCAGCAGTCCCTGGGGCCACGGGCCGGCCAAACAGCACCCTGCCCACAGCTTCATGAAACTCACTTCCCACCGTACCGTGCGCACATCTGGATAGGCACGGGTTCCAAGGAAAACTGGAAAAGAAATAAAGTGTCCATTCACTGTGGACGTGAGTCTCATCCCTGACCTTGGAGGACCCAAGGGGCTGCCTTGGGTGCAAGCAGCTGTCTCAGTCCTCTCAGAGTCCGAGCGGGGGGAGGGGGGGCAGCCCTGCCCAGAGCTGGGGGACATGTGTGGAAGGAACAGCTAGAGTGCCCCAGGGATCCGCTCTCAGTCCAGGTTCTGGGCCCTCAGTCTGACACCCGGGGTCACAGACAGTCTCCCAAAATCCCTGTGGGGGCGCAGCGTGGCAGCATGGGTGGACTGTCAGCCACCTAGCTAGCACCTGCAGCCACTCACGGCGGGGGGTGGGGGGGAGTGGGACAGGACAGGGCAGGGAGGCACAGGAAGGAGAGGAAGGAGCCCGGTGAGGAAGTGAGCCCCACTACCAGCCACCCCTCAGGGGCCACGTGTCCCCACAATCACCAGCCCGCTTCCTCCCCAGCAGAGTGACCCCGGCAGCAGCGGGGTCCCAGAGAGCAGCCACTCCCTCGCCCACTCAGCCTCTCATCCTCTGGCTCACTGAGTCTCTCATCCCTTCAACAAACACTTTCGGAGAGAACCCCGAGCGCCACGCCCAGGCCAGACGCTGGCTGAACATACTACGGGGACAGCAGAGCCTGTCCCTCAGCGCTGGGGACTTACAACCGGGAGGGAAGGGAGGTCAGAAAAGGGACAGACTTGGCTGAGTCTGGATGATAGTCCCTCGGAGCAGGTACTACTGGAGGCCCCGGGGGCAGAGGGGATCCCTCATCAGTCTTGCTGGGTTTGGGGGAGGTGCCTAAGGAGGTGAGCTGGGGCTGAGACCTGAAAGAGCAGAACTAACTAGGGCGGTGGTAGCCCAGGCGAGACGCCCACTGGACGTCCACGAGGACAGGGCTGCCCTGGAGTGCCGTCTGGGAGCGGGCCGGCGGCTCCCCCTCCTGGCCACATGCGCAATAGCAGATCCCCGCCACGCCGCCGCCGCCGCCTCCTCCTCCTCCTCCGCCCCCGCTTCCCGACTAGTCCCAGGGCTGGGGCTGCCATTCACCGAGCAAGGGAGGACACAGCAGACAGGAAGCACAGCGTCTGGGGCGCGGTTCGGGGCGGTTTCTGTGGGACCCTCGGGTAGAAACATCTCCCTGAAGGTTAGGTCTGGTGCCCAAAATCTGCACTGGGAGACAGGCTCTAGGGGGAATCTCCGCGGGAGCAGGGGGAGGAGAGCGGGCGGCCCAGGACAGAGGGTGCAGAGGAGGCACCAGAGCGCTGGGTGTAAGCCAGGTAGGGTGCGGGATGCGGTGAGAACCAAAGCGGGACCACTGGCTACAAGGGCGCAGCACGATGGACGGACGGGCGGACGTGAAGGTCCAGAGCGACACCTAGGCAACTCTGGGACTGGGCTGCCCCACGTCCTCCCCCTTACCAGCTGTGTGACCTCAGGCAAGTCACTCACCCAGTCGGTGCCCCGGTCCCTTTCCTGTAACGATCTACTGTGGGAGTATTCGGGAGGTGCTCAGGGCAGCGCAGGGTGGAAAGAGAGCAAAGGGCCCTCTTGGGGGCAGCGTCAGGGGCTGGGTCGGGGAGGAAGCCGGACCGCGGGAACTGAGTCCCAGAGGGCTGCTGGGCGGGGCGGGGGAGGGGCGGACTCTAGGGGAACGGAAGTCGCCTTTCGGGAGTCCGAGTCAGGAAGGATAAAGAGAGAAACGAGAGCCGGGCTCTCGGAAACCTCCGCGCATCCCAGCGCACACCCCAGGCCTGCTAGGTGGTCCGGCACCTCTGGCGGACGTGTCCCGCAGGAATCCCGACCCCTTCTCTCTCCTCCCTCTCCTGCCGCCTCCCCACCCCCAAATGAAACCACTCGGGCCCAAACTGAGTTGCTTCCTAGGAAAGTGGACTCTCAGACCTGACCCCACGAGGGTCCCTGGGGAAGGGGAGGGGCGTGACTTCTCCCCAAGTTCCCTCGTGCCCACTGGGCCCCTGCCTGAAATAGGCTTTCCTCTGCTAGCTGTGGGTCTGCCCCCACTTCCCCCTCCAGTGTCCCTCCCCAGAGAGCCACCCTGGACTGGCCCCACGCAAGAGCGCATGCCCTTACACTCTGCGCCCCCCACCCGCCCTGCCACCAGCCGACTTAGCACCAGCACCGCCGCACGTAGCGCAGTCGGCGCGTCTCCGGGTTTGTCTCTCTGTCCAGGAGGGCCTGGGCTGCAGCAGCTTCGTGCTTCCTTTCCCTGGGCACCTGGGCGGGGCAGACGCAGAGGGGCTCTCAGAGCTGCCAGTGCGTTAACGTCCTCCCAGCCCCAGCCCCAGCCCTCCTCCCGGCTGCTGGGTCTGCTCACCTGTGCTCCCCGCCTCCCCGCCCACTCTTCCCTCCCAGCAAGAATAGACTGGGGATTCTTCCTCTGCCCTCCATCCCGCCCTCCCTGGAGCTAACCGCCCTCCTCCCTGCGGCCTTGGGGCGCGAGAACCTTCCCGGACTGCTCCCTCAGCTCCCTCCAGCCAGCAGGTCACGAGGGCTTGTCTGCTGGCTGTGACCAGGGATGAGAAAGGAAAAGACGGCTCCTTCCTACAAGGGGTGGACTGTCTTCCTGGGGAAGCCACGTTAATACAAAAGACTTCATCCTAGCACAGCCCAAGAGGCGTGTCATGGAATGTGACTCCGTGGTACTAACTTTCTGAAGCTCCAAGGAGGACATGATGAATGGTGGGGAGGTGGGGAGCCCACACCCCCAGATGGAGTCCCGGTTCTGCCACCCGCAGACTTGACCCCTCTGCGCCCCTGAGCTCAGCGAAGACTCCAAAGCCCGAGATTCTCCGAAGTGAAAGTGGCTTCAGAACTGCCCCAGCCCACCCTCTAGGCCGGAAATGACCAGCTCTGGATTCCCAGAGCAACTCGGAGCCTCGTAGGCAGCACCCAGAGGCGACTGTGGAGCAGCGGGTGCGCACACACGAGTCACCAACCGGCCCTGCGGCGTGCGGCCCCAAGCCCCCCAGGCGCCTCCCGTCCCAGGCAGCCCCACGGCCCTGACCTCCTCCGGACCGCCCCTCATCTCTCCAACCGCCCTGCAGCATCTGTTACCAGAAAATCAACACAGAGCCGCAGAGCAGAAAGCAAAGCCTGGGCCCTCCCAGCGCCCCGAGACGCTGCCGTGTCTCTCTGTCCCCGACACCTCCCTTCTTTAACCCGATGTGCGCAGGGCACGGCACTGTGACCGCAGCACACCCAGAACCTTGCCGCCCCTGCAGCCCACATCCCGCCCACATCCGGCCCGCAGCCCTCCGAGGTGCCCCATCACCATCACCCTCCTGTTAACCGTTTGTAGGCACTGGGTGCAGGTCCACGGGACAGGTGCCCATAACCTGTCCTACCAACCCTGCCCCTTCGGCTTGACATGTAGGCTATTTCTGGTTCCAACTCCAAGTGGAGACAGGCGGCTGA